AGCTTGACCGACGTCCGCGCAGTCGCTTTTGGCGGTTTCACATTTCGTTATTTCCGGGTGCTTGGTGGTCGTGGGGATCCTGGTTAATAAGTGTCTGGGTTTGGGAGTGCGCACTATGCCTGCCGAATGCACGTTCGCTTGTGTCGGGTTCGTCCCTGCGGGTTTTGAGCGCGTTGCACCCTGCATATGGGTGGGGACAGGTTTTGGGTGTTCAGCAAAGGTGCGGGCACTGCACGGGGGTTCTCGTTTTTTTTTTCTTTCCCCACCCTTAAAGAATGGAGATCTGTCAGTTCCCATTAGCGGGAATTTCCGGTTAGGGGTGGTCAGCGCAGGGGTGTGGTCAGGCTGGAAGGTCCTGGCTGGGCCCAAGGGGTGGTGCCTGTGCTCTGATTGGGTGAGTTTATTTCGGGGTTGGACGTTTTCGGATTCCCCAGATAGAAAAGGATCAAAGAGGGTAAAAGTGTGGGGTATTTAAGACCCAAGGAGTCTGGTGAAACTAGACCTGCGTTGTTCACTAAGGTGTCCGCTGATGATGCGGGGCCATTGAGCACTCGAGTATGGTGAGACTCAATTGACTTACACTTCTGGTTTCTCTTTCTGTGTTTCTCTGTGTAGCCCTGGCAGTCCTGGAACTCACTCTGTAGACCAGGCTGGCCTTAAGCTCAGAGATCACCTGCACCTGCCTCTGCCTCCCGAGTGCTGGGATTAAAGGTGTGAGCCATCACCGCCTGGCTCTGCATTCAATTTTAAAGTCTTATTTGGGAGGAAAAAAAGAACGAAAAAGATCTTGGCAAGCTCATGTACTTAATCAGTATGTGTTTAGCAATGTGTTACCTGGTTAATTGAGGTGATACCTGTTGTGGTCATGTTATAATAAAAACAATCTGGCTAGTTTCTTTCTACTTTTTTTTTTTTTTTTTTTTTTTTTTTTTTTTTTTTTTTTTTAGTATGGCCACTTGGTAATTTAAAATGGCTCGTACCGCTGGCATCGTATTTCGATTGGACCGCGTTCCACAGGAGCGTCGGAATGGGGGAGGGGCTGGGAGCCCTTGCTATAGGCTCTTCCTGCATCTCTGGAAGTGGCTGCCTTTCTTGGAGCCCCTCAAGGAATTGAAAGTTCTTTTCGCCCTCAGTTGAACTGAGCAGAGCTGCGTGTGTGCATGTGTGTGTGTGTGTGTGGGGGGGTTGGAGTGATTAACAATGTTCATTTGTCAGCTGTAAGGCCTTGCAGTTGTTAATAGTGACTGATTTTGAAACCTCCTGATTTGGGTGTGTTAAATGTGGTGGTATTTTGTTTATTCTATAACAAATAAAGCTTGCCTGAAGATCAGGGTGCAGAGCTAAGCCACTAGTTAGCTGTAGAGGCCAGGCAGGCAATGGTGGCACACATCGTTAATCCCAGCACTCAGGAGACAGAGGCAGACAGATCTCTGTGAGTTCAAGGCCACCTTGGGCTACACGAGATTGAATCTGTCTAAAAGAGAAACAGCTCACACAAAGGTGATCCCAGCACTTGGAACCCCATGCCTTTAATCCCAGCACTAGGGAGGTGGAAACCAGTGATGTGGCTGGGTGGAGAGAGGAATATAAGGCTGGAGGAGACGAGCTCTTGAAGTCTGAGCAGTCAGTTTGAGGAGCACTGAAGTCTGAGGAGGCAGTCTGAGGACAGAATGGCCCCTTTGATCTAGTGGCTAGTTGCTCTGCTTCTCTGATCCTTCTTCAGCTTTCACCCCCTGATAGCTGACTCCCAAGTTTTTATTAAGACCAATTAGAATTCGTGCTACAGTTAAATCCATTTGTAAGTGAAGACGTGAATTGTTAGACTGTTAACTGTGGAAATAGTTTGAATAGGTAGTTAAGAAAGAGAAATACAAGCCAGGCATTGGTGGCGCACGCCTTTAATCCCAGCACTCTGGAGGCAGAGGCAGGTGGATCTCTGTGAGTTCGAGGCCAGCCTGGTCCCCAGAGTGAGTGCCAGGATAGGCTCCAAAGCTACACAGAGAAACCTTGTCTGGAAAAACCAAGAAAAAAAAAAAGAGAGAGAGAGAGAGAAATACAAACACACCTCTATTATCACAAATACTTTAGAATGGGTTTTCTAGACAGAATGCATTGTGAGGAAGCTTTTGTCTTTTAGATAATACCTGGGTGTGTTTGTCTCAGCAAACCCACATTTTTCTCATAATCTTCCCATGTGTGGTGTCAGGCGGGGTCTATAGTCTCAGCCACTTGTCATAGTTAAGTGGGAGGCCTTTGAGTCCAGGAGTCCCAGACCAGCCTGGGCAACAGAGTGAGGTCTCATCTCAAACAGTAAACAACAAAACCTTACAAAATTGTTTGTGCGCTCTCTCCCTCTCTCTCTCACTTCTCTCTCTCTCTCTCTCTCTCTCTCTCTCTCTCTCTCTCTCTCTCTCTCTCACACACACACACACACACACACACACACTTTCTTAAAAACAACATCCACCGTGTCAGCTGGGCATCAAACTGCATTGACAGTACCAACTTTACATGCTGGGCTTTCTTGCCACCCTCTGTGGCTTTCTAAGTGATTTCATTGATGTTAATTTAAACAAAATGAGGTACTCAACCTTGCCTGCCTGCCAGCAGAGGGCACCAGATCTCATTCAAGGTGGTTGTGAGCCACCATATGGTTGCTGGGAGTTGAACTCAGGACCCCTGGAAGAACAGTCAGTGCTCTTACCCGCTGAGTCATCTCTCCAGCCCTTGAATTTGCTTTTTAATTCTACAAGTTTAGCAATGTGTGGTCTAGTTAACTTTGTGACATCATGAAGCTTCTGAGCTGTGGACTTACCAGTGAGAGGCAATTGTTCTGTTTCCCGTGTAAGAAAGGATGTGATTTTGGAGCAGGGGTTTGTTAGGACATGTCTGGTGAGGGGTCAAGAAATGTTAGCCCTTGGGCAGGAGAGCCTCTTGGGAGTCTGAGGCATATCACAACTTCAGTGACTCAGGCAGATTATCTCAATGAAATATTTTCTGTTGAAGATGTCTTGCTCCCTGTGAGCTGCCCTGCTTGGAGGCTGCTTCCCAAGTGTATAGACTCTGGAATCTTGGCAGTTTCAAGTGAACAGTTCCCACGGGGGAAGGGAGGACTTAACGGAAATAAGGGGTTACCTTCCCAGTGCTGTTTGGCCTAGCCTCCAGTTTTTAGGAAGGGAGAAGCTGCCTCAACTGTCTTAGGAAAGGGAGAAGCCTTTTCAGGGAAGGAGAAGCTGTTTAGCAGGGTTTCTCTACCTGAATTGCAGCAGGAAGGGTGTGGCATTTTGCCCTCTTGCCCAGGGCTGGATAAGTGTTTGAAGAATCAGTATACACTGTACACTGTTTCAAGAAAGATTCACAGTAACATTACTTGAACCATTTGTTAGTTTTTTTTTTTTTTGGTCCTTTTTTCGCTCTCAAGACAGTTTCTTTTTGTAGCCTTGACTGTCCTAAAACTTGCTCTGTAGACCAGGCTGGCCTTGACCTCAAAGTCTGCTTGTCTCTGCCTCCCGAGTGCTGGTATTAAAGGCGTATGCTACCACCATCGGGTTTTTTTTTTTTTTAAAAGCAAAAATACAATAATACTGGACCACGTTTTCTTGCACCTCTTTAAAAATATCTTTTATTTATATTTTGACAATTTCATATATCTTGTATCTTTGCAAATTCCATAATGGTACTTGAGCCAGGGCCCCTGGTGGTCCATCTGTTGGTATGTCTTGGAAAGAAGGTTGTATCACACGAAGCTTTCTTTCTTTCTTTCTTTCTTTCTTTCTTTCTTTCTCTTTTTCTTTCTTTTCCTTTCTTCTTTAATGTATATGGTACTTTATCTGCATGTACACCTGCAGACTAGAAGAGGGCATCATGTTTCATTATAGATGGCTGTCAGTCACCATGTGGTTGCTGGAAATTGAACTCAAGTCCTCTAGAAGAGCTGCTAATGGTCTTAGCCACTAAGCCATCTTCAGCCCCTCACATGATTCATGTATTTATGTCTAAGTATGTTCTGGCCAAACATAGTCCATGGAGGTTTTCTTGGGCATACTTTCTGGCTCCTCAGCTTGAGTGAAGCTGTTTTAAATGATTCCCATGAGCCTGTCTGTGTGTATGAATGTGTACACAAGCATGTTTATTCTAGTCCTCTTGAGTGACCTTGAAGTGTCCACCTGTGTCTGAGCCCAGGCCACCTGAGACAGGTGCTGGTCCTCCTCAGGGAGCCTGGGTCACTTGGTTGGTGCAGAATAGTGAGTTTCAGGGACCCCAGACTGGCTTTGGAATCTAGCTCTGTCTTCTACAGCAAGCTTTCTGTCCAGGGTCACATCTTTGTACATATCACCCCCACCCCCACCCCCGCCAGCGCAGCTCTCAGCACAGCCCTTGGCACCAGAGCGTGGCAGCTTCGGGTTTTGTCTCAGTATGTTATATAGTAACATCTCACTTCTTGGGATCTGCTCTGGGAGCTGCTATCTCCCCATGCTGTGAAAAAGTGAAAGGTAATGAATTTTACCATATTGGCTTTGTCCTAGACGGAAGGACAATGCCTTCTACCTAACAGACACTGACTGAATAGGGAGTTAGAATGATTCAGGGTGCTTTCTCCCTCTCATGGAACTTCCAGGGAAATAACACATTTT